ACTCATTTCTAACTCCACCTCATGACTTAGGTTGTGGAGGAGAGTCGCTTACCAAAGGGCACATGTACCGCTGAAAGCCTGGCTCTGCAAACCTAAAGGGTGGAGAGAGAGCCCTGGTTTCTGAACAAGAAGATATTAGGAGCAGAAGCCGTGCCAGGAAGGTCTGGCCATGGCTGGCTCTTGGATCTTCGGCTCATAAACATCCTGCCCTGAATTGAACTGTGTGTTTATGTGGGATGAGGTGCCGTTGTTCTCAGCAATATTGGACCAAAAGGGTGGATAGAGAGAGAGAAGGGATTTGGAGATGGTGGAAATATCCTTTTTGAACCTCTGTGATACGCACGCACACACACACTTCAAAAAGTTTGTGGAAAAATGGAATTAAAATATGAGATTTTTCCATGCATTTTTGAAACCCACTCATGTTTATAAATGTTTAAATTTTCCTTTTAAAAAATAAAGCATCAATGTTTAAAAAAAAAAAAACATGCAACACTATGTCGATAGCAAGTTTATCCTTGAAACAAAAAGCAAGGTTCTTTTTATTGGAAGGGGCAGCTTTATATATAAGAAAGCAGGTGCGGTGCTCAGGGGCCCTGCGAAAGCTGTTCACCGTGGAGAGCCCAGTTTTCTCTGCCCACCAGCGTCCCTGGACACTCAGGGCTGACATTTCAGGGGTGGTTATGAGTTTTGTGATGCAGAGATCCCCAAACAGAATTCTATAGCAAGCCTTCTGTGCTTGTCCGTCAGCCAGCGGCTTTCATTGTCTTCTCCTGGCCAATCTAGTTTCACTTGGCACCGGCCATCGCCTTTTTCTGGTTACTTCGAAGCCGATCTCCAATCTCATTTTATACCCGAATAGTTCGGTGCATGCCCCGTGTGGTAAGGTAGAAAGGCATCTCTCCACAACACCATTATCGTGAGTTACCCAAAGCGAGCATGCGTTCCTGAACCTTACCCGGTGCCCTGCAGCGTCTAGACCTCCCCTCTTTGTCCCCTTCTCTGACTCCTCCTCCTCCACCGACAAGTCACTTCTCCTTGGAAACTGCTTTATTGAAGAATACGTGACGTCTTTTCCTCAATGCCTAGGCTTTTCCCTCCATTTATTTTCTCTTTTTTTCTCCTTGTGATTCATTTCTTGGAGAAGCAGGACTGTGTCTCACATAGAATCAGTCCACATTGTAGACACATGGTCAAGATGTAGGTGAAAGCTAGTTCAATGTCCTGGTGTATTTGAATTTCTTTTATTCTTCACACAAATTACAATTCACCCGTGTGATTCTAATGAGTCATCATCTGTAGGACTTCCAGCAGGAAGAGGCTCGAAGATCTTAATAAGCTAGGGAAATACCTTGGCCCCACGGGCCATTCCTGGGGACTGGAGTGCGCTTGTAAGCACTGGGGCAGGAGAGATGTGCAACACTGGGCTATCGTCGGTGGAGTGGGTGATAAAGCCCAAACTCAGTCTTCCTTTAACAGCTGACCTTTTCAGAAAGCAGCTTCAGCCTGGCCACAGGCAAAGTACCCTGCAACACCCCACAACACCCCACAACTCATCCATGCACACACTCAGCAGTGTTGTCTGTGCAATGGTTTCTGCCTTTGTCTTCCGTTGGTGTGAGCCCACCAGGCGTTCCGCAGGAGAGCCACCTGACAGTCTACGCCCATAGAGATCATGGCCTTGCAGGAAAAGACATGATGGCCTTACAGCCAGCACTACCTTGTCGGGGGGCCACATTGTGTCCAAACGAACTTGACTGCAATGGGCTTGGTGGTGGAGATCTGCCTGCTGGAGTCCCTGCAGAGGACAGATCAGGACGCGGCATGGTTGGGGTGCGGGACCACCCAGAGACACCTTGGAAGACAGGGCTGGAAGGCGAGCAACCTCTGAGAAACCAGCCGTTGAGCACCCTGTGAAAACACCGCTCTGCTCAGACCCACAGAGGTTGCCGTGCGTCAGAACTGACAAGCTCCGAGAATTGGTGTTTTCCCGCTTCTTTCTAGAAGATCCAACGGGAGACCCCTCTTGTCCTCTCACGATCTAAAGCAGTGTGACCTCTAGGTGAAAGCGCAGGATGAGGCCAGCAGATACAGTGACGAGGACAGGGTGCCCGTGGCCGGCGAGAGCACGGGGCAGTGACCTCACTGGGGTGCCTAGCTGTCCAACAAAGTCTTAAGAACAGTTACAGCAAAACGTTTAGCTGCCCTTTTGGAGCTCGGTTGAAATAATAAGTTAGGTTGAAGTTGGACACATCAGGCCAAGGCCAGGTGGGCCTGTGACCC